GTCAATTGATTGGAAAAATCAGAGAAACTACTATCAAAGACCAAGACAAACTACAAAGACTCATTAGGTGCTTCAAAATTATGATCTCTTACGTATTTTTGTAACCAAGTCTCCATTCTTTTGGCTTCGTCATACAAAAATCCAAAATTTATGTGTTACAGATAAGAGGAACATGATGGTGAAACATGGAGCATGAAAAATGAGAATTTATATCAATCAAAACTAATTTTCACACAGAGCAAACTTCCAAGTAACAGAGCGTCGAAGCAGCAATCAATGGAACCTACACGGACAAGTTAAAACCTGATTTCAACGGTTTAAATTCTAGAGCACCATTAAGAACTGACATGTATGACTATTCTAGTCACAAATGACACAAATACTCCAAAGCTATAGACAAATTGCCCAGTATATATAGCACGAAAGTACATAACTTTACTGACAAGAGAAGATCAATCGGTTTTGTATTTCCGTCTTCCTATCAATTCAAGAAGGAGAAAAGAGATTTCATAACAAAGAGTTGACATTACGGTGTTGACATGGTAGAATTTGTACATAACTTCGATGAGTATCTCATAACTTTTGAATAAGACATAACAGTTTCAGCTGAAACCCCTGAAACATATGGTCTCTGACGTATAGTTTCAGTGATCTTCAACGAGGATCAAGATCTGTACAGGTTAGATCATTGATACTTTGGGAATCGTACCTCATTGTAGTAGATTGGCTAGATTCTGAGACATCTCGGTCGTGTTTTCGTCTATTTGGAAAGAAGAATCCAGGTGGTTGAGGAACAGGTATATTAAGGGAGCTTCTAGTGAGCATCATGTTGATTGTCGACAAGGAGGGACGATCTGCGGGATCGTGTTGAACACATAGCAGCGCAATGTGGATGCATCTTTTCACGTCTTCGGTTTGACAATTCTTTGAAATGGTTGGATCCACGAGCTCTAGTGGTGTCCCGTCTCTCCACAACCTCCAAGCCTGTAACATAATTTTCAATCATAAATTAAGATTTCATAGTTAGATAAGGTCATATTGCTGGTTAATCATTTGATCATCAATCAAGAATTTTTTGTACTCACGTATGTGACCAAATTCTCAATTGTGGTGTCTGAATCGTGGACGAATATGTTTTGTCGACCACAAATAATTTCAAGAACTAAGACTCCAAAACTATAGACATCAGATTTCATTGAGAAATGTCCTTGTATTACATATTCTGGGGACATGTAACCGCTGCAAGAGTAAAACACAAGCAAATTTAACTACATTGGTGAAAGAATATATTCTTGAAGATTCAGTACAGAGGCCATATCAAGGGTAATATGTGTATACCGTGTTCCAACTATTCTGTTTGTATTAGCTTCACTTTGGTCCATCCCAAATATTCTCGCCATTCCAAAATCAGCAATTTTCGGATTCATCTCAGCATCTAGGAGAATGTTGCTGGCTTTGAGGTCACGATGTATGATTGTAAGACGTGAATCATGATGAAGATATAGAATTCCTCGAGTGATACCCCCGATGATGTTGTATCGTTTTGACCAGTCTAACTGACCTCGCTTTGTAGGGTCTGGACATAAACAAGTAGTTATTAGCCACTAATACATTTCAATCAAAGAAGTCAATCAAATGCTAACTTCCACATACCAAAGAGGAAATAATCGAGACTCTTGTTGGGGACAAACTCGTAAACAAGTATCTTTTCTTCTCCTTCAAGACAAAACCCGTGAAGCTTAACAAGATTCCTATGCTGAAGTTTTGCAACAACAATAACCTCATTCTTAAACTCTTGTGCGCCTTGTGCTGATCTTTTCGATAGCCTTTTCACTGCAACTTCTGTTCCATTAGGCAAAACACCCTACAAATAACATCCACGCGACAATATGATAATCTTACTTTGACTATGTAGTTCTAGGTTTTGTCAAGAGAAGTAATGACCAAGTAGCTACAGAAATGACACCTTGAAAACTTCTCCGAATCCACCTTGACCAAGCTTGTTACTAAATTTGTCGGTTGCAACTTCAATTGTCTTAAAACCGAATTGGAGGGAGCGTATAGTTGTAATACCAGCTGCAAAATCAAATTAAAGACACACTCTCTAATAACCATGATCTAAGAAGAATGTAGCATTAAGTGTTACTAACTAATTCCACAGAATATATACATGCTAAGAACAAAGACGCTAAAGAAAAGCATATCAACAACACTCACTTTGATAAAGATCAAATTCTTGATATGGTTTTCTCCTCCAGCAAAGTACAGCAGATCGCCGAGCAAGCAGTACTAA